AGCACAGGGTACTGCGAAAAGCAGCTCTGAACCTCTCAGGATCATCTTTATGAAAACCATAAAATTAACAAATAATCAGTCAGGAAATAAAATATTTGTTAAATCTTGCTATAAAACAAAATCCAATAATTGTCTTACCTCAACTTTAAGAACCATTAACGTTAATGGCTGGATTTTGGGACGCTGAATAATGAAAAAACAGATAAACTAAGTATTATTTCCTGTAACCTGGCTAGAAACTGTACCAGGCTGTTTTGAGTTAAAAACTGGTAGTTATTTTCCCAAAATAAAATAGATAAATAAAAAATGAAAGGAGGGATCTTGCATTTGGGATAGATTGTGCCTAAAGTTTAAAACCTGTGTAGAACTAATTTGATGATTCAGAAAAAATTGTGCATAGGAAATAGTCTAGATTTACCTTTGAGTCAATAAAGTTGACTAAATATTAGAAACCTTCGTTGATTTTGATTTGTAAAAGAGAAAGTTCTGTCCTTTCAACTCAATCAACATATTTAAGGAAAACGTTTGCTGTGCATTGTGGAGGCATGAACTTTACTGGGTGGGCCTGTCACAACCAGCTGCAAAGAATGTTTGGGTCTGACTTCTATACAAAGAGAACCTGGAAGCCCTCACCAAAAACTGTGACTTATAACATCAAGACGGGGAGCACTGCAAGATGGACAAAGAGGCAGAAACTTATTTGCCCTGCTGCTGATGAAACAAAGTACAAAAGGGGGAGCATGTGTGCTAACATGTGAACTTTAATCAATGACGGTGGTCATCCTGGACTTACAAAGAGAGGCTCAAAAGAGACTGTTTCCTATGGTTACACCCAGTAAAAGAGTGCTTGCTGCAGTCAGGTAATGAACAAGGCTTTTTGGCAACAACCAGTTGAATTGATGAAATGTCAGAACTGTGGAAAATTTACTAAACTACTGTAGAACATAGTTAACTGAGAAAGTTAGCCTAAAAAAAAAATAATAATAATATCAATAAATAAATAAATAATAGGATTAGTAACCTGGATTTCAGCCCAACTCACCATTGGACGTCAATATAATCTTTATTGTCCTAGGATTCTCAGCTGCAGCGGACATGCAGTAAAGCCTTATTTTCTTTTCAAAACGGAATACATCAGCGTCATCACTTATCTTCATTAGTTAAGGAAACGGTGTCTATTTATAAGTCTAGGAGAACGCTTTAGGCTTCAACAGTTCTCTCCTTCGAGCAAACATGCGCAAATTTCCGGATAGTTTATAGTAACGTTCCATCCCATTCCATTCATTGCATAAAAATAAACATTAAATGAATAATTTGGCATCCAGCTGACTAAATGATTCATGGAACATCTCATCCGAGACAACAGTGTTGTTTCAGCTCCGTTGAGTTTCCCAACAGATCTAGCCAAACCTAGCTGATCCTATATTTTTCTATCAGCTGTAAGTTCTAACGTAGAAAATAATGTCACAAAAATATTGAATAATTGTACCCCTCATTCGATAAAAATTATGTTCACATTTTTATCTTGTGAAATCTTTAACATAATATTTTTAAATGGCCTTTTTGACGACAATTGGCTAAAAAGTCTTTAAGATTATCATCACAGGATGGCATGATAAATAAGTAAATAACATAAATAAATAAATAGACAAAAATAAGAGAGAAAAAGCAAAATTAATTAAATGAAACGTAATAGTGATAAAACGTTAAATTGATCTAAAATCTGTCATTCAGCGCCACTGGAAAAAGGAAGAGGATAGGGGAGTATTTCTTAGCACAAATCACGTTATTGATTTAGCAATGCAGCTTAATTTCAGATGCTTTAAGGATGATACTAACTTGTGTTATAGATGGAGGAGTAGCACAGAAACACTTCTAGATGAGGAGATAAGGAAAAAAACTGCTGATTACCAATACTATGCACAAACAAACCTGTAACTGCAGTTTCGTTATTTATGAATTAACCTTAAGTAGTGAATTAATTCTTAGGATTTCTTGTGCGAGTAGTGTTCCTAAAAAAGAAAGAAAGAAAGAAAGAAGGTAAGAAAGACAGGTAGTTTAGGTAAGGGACAACCTGAAACTTTTTGGTTGAATTGATAGTAAAGTGATTGTCCTAATTTCTAATTGGAGAGATCACATCGCAACGTGAGTTTAGAACAGCAGTTATGGGAAGTTTTGTTGGATTAATTTGATTACACGCTTTAGGTCTTATTTTTTCTTTCCACTGATTTAGCGTTAGGTTAAGTATTTCACACTTTCGCTTCAGTCTGACATTTGCTTGGTGTGTGAGGGCACAGAGACGTGTATGGACCGTGTGTTTGACTGTGTTTGTCTTGTTTGTTTGCTTATTTATCTATATGGGCATGGCCGAGCCTTGAGAAACATCAACAAAGACATTGGACTATTCTGAGTAAATTAACCAATTCAAATTCAAATTCAGGATCCTGAAACAATTTGGTTATAACCTCTAATTGATGAAGGACATCTTAAGAATTCATTGTACAAGGCATCATCTCCAGTGTTGCTGGAACTGTTATAAAACCCATGCATGGTTGTATATTTTAGTTTGATCATTTATACTCATTGAATTATTGTTGTTTGCTTTATGTTTTAATTTCTTTGCAATTTTTTCTCTGTGACACAGGTGGAGATGCTGGTGGCAAAATGGATCCCACACATTTCTTTCTCCCACACACATTCTTACTCTCTCCCTCTCTCTCTGTGTATGTGCATGTGTATGTGTTTGTGTGTCTGTGTGTCCATGTCGTGATGTCACTGTACCTTTAATTGCGCTTGCTGTTCGTAACTGTATGTGTCTGATGTTGAAGGTATCAGAGGCTAGGGTCAGTAAGAGCTAGGACATTTTTGTGCATAACCTCTAATCCCTAGGCGATCGGTCCGGGGAACTTCTGGTCCGGCCGGAGTGTGAATCTTCCTACCAACTATCTGCCGAGATCAAGGACTGCACAAGCCGAGAAAGCCTTCATTGGACCAAAACTACACACACGAAGAGGCTTCATCTTCGGTGCCAGGCGTCTGGGTCCTGCTAAAAGTCACCAAAAGGAAGTGGACGGAACCGAGGTGGACCGAGCCATACAGGATCACGGAGAGGACGTCACACGCTGTCCGGCTGGACGGGAGGAGCCTAACCTGGAAGAGAAGCAGCTGACATCTGCCTAACCAGAGAAAGGATCCAAAAAACCAGGAAGAGAAGTAGCTGACTACAGTAGCATGCCAAGCTACCACCACATCCTGCAGGACGAGAATCATGACATCATCACCCCCTGCAGCTGCCTGGAGCCAGTGAAGGGTCCTCAACAGGGGGAAGAAGTAACCACCCTATGAACATTCTACAAGGGTTGTATTTAACACCCTCATTTATTTTACAAGGGTAATATTTTACACCCTCCACCTGCTGACCCAATTATCCAGATGCCCTTGTTACTAGCCAATCCTAAAATCTATTTGGGAGGGGAACCCTCTGATGAAAGTGATGACTCTCATGATGAAGAAGATGTTGTTAGAGTGTGAGAATATTGAGTGATTTCTGTAACAATCCCTTAAACTGTTTATTTCTATGAGTTTTTTGATTGTGTTGTTTTTATTTCTTTTGATCATTGATGTCCTAGGCATGCACACTCTATGCCAACAGGCGTTCGCCCCAAAATTGAGATATGACAAATGGGGGGACATGGGGGAATTTTCCCTATAAACATATGATAATTAGGGTTTTTCGCCCTCATATGGAGTTGCATGCGATCCATACATGTTGTAACATGTTCAGTTGAAAGTATGATCATGTTTTTTGTATTAGTTTACTGCTAGAAAGATGAGTAAATGTAATCTGATTGGTTGTTTGTATTGGTATTTTAAAACTTTGCTTATTGGATTCTTTTTGATGGAATTTGGTGTTATTGTTTTGATTTCTTATATCTTTATTGAACTCTTAAAAGAGTTCAAAAGGGGGATTGAAAATATATATCTCTCATATAAGCTCTTTCATATATTATTATAAGCTCTTTTATATGATTAAATATGTATCTCTCACTTTTGCCCCTTATATATTATCATAAATACATTATTATATGCCTTTTCATGGAATCTTGTTATAATATCAAAGACCTCTCTGTGCCTTTTCTGCTCAAGCTGAACAGCTGCATAAGGGAGTGAAAGCGTTCCTTCCTTCAGTTCCTCAATACAAGAACAACTGTCTTTGTTAGCAAAGGATGTTGCAGGATGTGTCCTGATCATCTCAAGGTTGCATGTCCTTGGGATGAATTGGTCTTTCATTAACAAGGCTATTAGCTGACGTGCGTCTGCAGGTGCAGATGATGGCAGAATTACGTGTGTGTATGGCAAACTATGTATGTAACATTCCTGTAATCTTCAATAAAAATCAGCCGTTTTCAGCAGAACGGCGAGAGTCTGTCCGAAGCATCTGGCAAGAGCAGGTCGCGGGACTTGCTGCAGAGACTCTCCCCCTCATGAGCGGTGAAACAGTGAATGGACTTCTGATCATTTGTCTCCTCGTTCTGACAACTTTAAAGGTGTTTAACTCCATCTACTCCGTACCCGTGCTTGGTCTAACGGAAGAGAGACCAACACCGTCCAAGGTCTCCTAAATAAAAACAGTACTTTCAATCAATAAAGCACAACAATTATAACATAAAAGTGATGATTGAACGAAACTAGACATACCAAGCAGCATTCCTGACCACAAGGTAGCATGTGGAAGAAAGTATTTAGAAAGACTTGAAATGAATGCTGGTGCATGGTACACATTCGGTGGTCCAGTCACATCAAGGTGGGCACTGGCAATTACTTCTGCAAAGTGCTGGTTAAGTGATGAGTGAACTGTTGTCGTCTGAAAAAAAAAAAAATTTAAGTGTCATATAATTAACAAAAATTTCGGATAATGAAGACCTTATTTTGTTTAAAAAAACACATACATGTGCTACAAAACAATGTTATTGGTGTCACACTATAACATGAACACAATTAATATCTCAACCATTGAAAACCAAACTTAATTTTAAAATTACCTTGTAGTCCTCTGGAATGATGTCTTTTTCTTCATCATCACCATTTCCCGTCGGATTGATCAGCAGTTTGAGGTTCTGCAGGTGTTTTTGCACTTCTGGTCCACTGCATGGACTTTTGAAAACTACTGTTGCACTTACAATAATGCCATCGAAATCTTTCAGGTTGGAAGAACAGGCCAGTAATCCAAAAACGTGCATGCCAAATTTGTAGTGTTTCTCAAGTCTGTAGTCAAAAAAGCATATTAACAATTACCATGAATACTAAACACAAACAAAATCAAATAATTAGCAGAAAAAACATTAACAAAATATAATTATAATAGACATAAATTAACAAGTCAACAATATCTACAAGGGCAAGACCACTAACACCAAAGAAATACTTAAAACAGAAAACTAACATTCGTACTCAAGGACTTTGAGCACAAATACCTCTTTTTGCAAAGATCCTTTGCGTTCTTCATGATGTGACTCAAACACCGGTGGAGAATGGGTATGTTGAAGTTATCCGTGTCCAACTGTCCTGTGATAACCTGGAAGTATCTCTCCAAGAGGTCTTCCAAACTTGCTCTGCAGAATGTTATCGCAATGGACTGGAGAAGCACCAGTGAGCCATCACATATGATCATTACTGGCCTTTTGTTTGCCCTGCTTCCATACATTCGTGTAAGCTCTGTTTGAAATGCTTGTACAAAATATGTTACAGAAGCCGTGGTATGGTCACATGTAACAAAAGTTGCTGTTGGAAGAGGTGAGGATCCCTTGAAGGGATTTCGAACTATAATTTCATACACATAGTACGGAGTAGCAGAAGCATTATCTTTTGAGATAATGCTTCCTGTTGCATCAAAATATACTATGTCATCTTTGCACCGTTGGTAAAACACTGTAAGTGTTTTTCGGGACCAGAGCATTATACCTTTTGGATGCAGGAGCACTCTCTGAAGGACTTCGTTTGGAAGTCCTTGCTGTCTGTCAAGTAAAATTTGCAGACTGGCCATCTCATTTAAATGAGGTCTGTCTTTTGTTCTGTGGGACCAGGCAATATTTTTCAAGACCTCTTTAGATGGAGCCTCATCCCGACACCCGGCTTGGAAAGCTTTTTCTGGTATTTTAATTAGAGAATCCAGATAAAGACTTCTTGGCATTTTGGTTTCCAGTTGTTCTGCTATTTCGTCTCTGGAGTGTCCACGCACAGGTCTTGTTTTTATTTCCTTTGTGTTGTGGCACACCTCACCTCCTTGGAAAAGCACATCAGCCTTCAGGGTTTTTTCATCTTTAACCTCCACTGTCACAGTCACTGGACAATCCTTAAAACGGCAGTATGCCTTACATGAGAACACAGCCCTCTTAGACCGTGACTGACTGGTGTTGATGGTATGCCTCTTAAATCCAAAACTGCAAAATGGGTGTACTGACTTAATGCCAGTGGCTACAACATTAGTCCACTGCAGTCCTTTGAAAAGCCTCCCTTTCTGCGTTTTTCTTAGGTCTTGCCAGTCTTTCGGGTCAATGAAAAAAAAAACAAGGCTGCTGTGGCAATGAGCATTTGTAGAATTCCTCTTCAGCATTACTGTCACTGTTGTTGGGTGAATCTGTACTCCAGTCCTAAAACACATTAATTATTAAAAATAAGAAATATGTGATGTAATTTCATTAAAAATAATGGTATGTGGACAATAATTTACCTGTTCGAGTGATGTAGACGATTGTGGTGTAGACACACCAGTTTGTGGCTGTTTCAATTCAGGAGAAATGTTTTGGAAAATGCCATTGTCATCACTGTCCTCTGAAACATCCTTTGAATGTAATTGTATTTGTCAAACAAAGAAATTATTTTTAAATAGAGACACTGTTTTAATCAAGTGCAATCACTTAAAAGTTATGTAATAAATAATTCCAACCTGTTTGAGCAAAAAGAGAGATTCATTTCCTTCCTTTTCAGGTGGATACATCTCGAGTGTTTCGCCGCCACTGTTTCCTTCATCCTGAGTGTGAAATAATTATTAGCTCATGAGTATAGTAATGTAAAAAAAAAAATACACGTTTTAGTTTTAAAGGTTTACATTGGTTGACATAATACAAGTAATTCACTTACACAAACACTCACTAATATGATGAAAGGAATGATTCATATATATTGCTTTTCGACTCTCCCAGACTACTCAAAGCGCTCTGGACTACATGTCACATTCACAACACGTCATACATGCACTTAGAAAATCAAGTGCTAAATAATAAACATTTACACACATTCACAGTCCGATGAGCGCATCGGAGGGCAACTTGTGGTTAGTATCTTGACAAAGGATATTTGGCATGCAGACTGAGCCAGGAATCAACGCGTATATCTGCTAAACAACCTGACCCGCAGCCACACAGCAGAAAATAAATAGTAATTTACATTTGTTTGATACAATGTTGACGCACAAGGTAGGTAGACATGGCCTATCATTCCATCTCTATGCTGACGATTGCCTGATTTACTCTCCATTGTGTCCGGAGAAAGGTGACTCTATCCAGTCATTTTTGTCCAGTGTTAACGAGGTGAGGTGTTGGCTAATGGCCAACGTTCTGCATCTGAATGAGGGAAAGACAAAGCTCATTGTTTGTCACCCCAATAGCAGGAATGTGGATCGTAATGTTGATCTTGGGCCTCTTTCGCCATACTCCAAGCCAGTTGTGACCAGTTTGGGGGTGAAACTTGATGCTGGACTTAAATTTGATGCTCACATCAACTATGTGATCCGGTCCAGTTTCTTTCACCTGAGACGCCTTGCAAAAATCAAGCCCATGCTGTCAAGAGCCCACCTGGAGCGGGTACTCCATGCTTTTGTAATTTCTAGCCTTGATTACTGCAGCTCTCTATATGCAGGGTTGTGTCAGTCATCACTGCGTTGCCTACAGGTGGTGCAGAACAGCGCAGCCAGGTTGCTGACTGGGACTAGGAAACGGGATCACATCATATGCGTTTGCCCTTCAAGAAACAACGGTTCCTGTGTTTTGTGCCTCCATCCATTAAAGCACATGTCTCATGTTAGGTGTTACTATTAACCTGTACACTATGGAGTTACCACTACACTACAATTCATATAAAACCATAAATTCATGTGGAAATGATTGTTTAACTACGTAATCTAAACATTAATACAATTTTAAAAATTTAACTTTTGAATTCATAACAATACACGTTACATAAAATCAATCATGTCATTTTATTGTGAAATACGTACCAAAGAAGATTTACTCTCTCCGGAGGTCCCACTATCACCTTCAACATCAAGATTGTTTGTTTGGTGTATGACTTCCATGTTTCCCTGTTTAATACACATGTAGAAATTACATTGTCATCGACCTGTAATGATAAACAGTATCCTTCCACCAAGTTAAACTTAGGTGTGCCTGTGCAAGGCACAATCTATATTATTCATCCACTGTTCTTCAGGTCTAAACAAACGTCTGTTGCTCAAGGAATTTTTGCTCTGGAATTTCTTTCAGAGCTTATAAAATTTTTACACTATCCTTCGTAAATACTAAGTCCAGAGTAGTATTCAGACTATAAACATAGATATCATAGAGTGCTTACCTTTTGGTAGTGCAGAGCAACAAGATTAAGTTTTTTACGATTTGCATAATTATTTGGCACTCCCAAGTCTCTGCACACATTACTCCAGAATGCGTCTCCTCGGTGAACACTGTGTTTGTTTCTGTTGTGTGGTTCGGCGAAAGTCTCAGTGCATTGTATTATATGTTCATGTTTCAGACGAATTTTCCGTGCCTGTAAATGTAAGTAAAATAATTACATGAAATAGAGAGATCTAGAACTACAAAGTTTTTTAGACTTTATAATTTAATTACAATCACATTTTATTGAATATCTTTTTCAAAATATTGTTTAAGGAGAAAACTTGCCTTTCCAAAGGCAGTAAATGTTGAGGTCCTGTAACACAAATAAGAAATTAAAAAACAAATGCTTCAATGTATTTGACAAACAATAAAATTTGAAGTTTTTCTTCATAAACGTGTTATGTTTATATATTTCTTGTATAACTCGAAATGATATATTTAAAACCACTGGGGTGACTGAAATGGTCTTGGATGGTAACAGACTAATCATATTTTTGTTAACACACCATTCTAGTCAGAGATATGGACAAAGCAAAAGGCTGATTATTTGTGTTTCGGGTGCAAGGAAATAAACCTACATAGCAAAAGTTATTAAATCATCTCTTAAAATCAACTGTCTTTCTAACAAATTATTTTCTAAAGTGTTGGTTTTTCTTGGCTACCTAGAACATTACGTGGTTATAACAAATCTATTACGTTATGTGTCCCTAATTAAATACATAGTACTCCAAAACACATTGAAACACCATTTTACTGTAAAAAAAAGTAATGGGAAGCAAATAACAAATGAAGCAAAAACCCATACGGAAAACGTCGCAAAAAATGTAAGTCAATAAGGCAAAGGACATGATTTGCAGCTAAAGCTAATTTCATGCTTACCTTCTCTGTCGTTTTGCGTCGCTCATGTTGTCAACAACAGGAACTCGTAACTGTTCAAAGTTAACAAACTAACTTTGTTTCACAGTGTCCAGTAAAAATGTAACTCCCTAGTTCCTACAATTGTCTAATCATGTGCACGCATCACACCACCACAGCAACTACTTGTCTCGTTGGGATCGCTGTGGCCATAGTCTACTACAGTCAACCTTCACCCTTAAGTCCCAAGAATTACAAGATCCGCCCCAAAGTCCTGAAGCAGGTTGAAAAGACCCTTAACCCACACGGATGACTCTGATAGCTCCACTTAGCATCCCTTCATTTGTAAATGTGGCCATTGGCGGAGAACACAGCAGGGGGGACACAGGTACAGTGGGTGTCCCAGAGTCATAATGTGGTGAAAGTTGTACATCAGCTATGAAGGAATTTTCTTAATAAATTTTGGAATATGCAACCAGACTGTCACGAGTGTGGACTGAATACAAGTTTGCTTTAATATCTGAAGATTTCTATAGTAAATCTGTCTGAAATGAGGCACACAGGTACAGTGGGTGTTCCAGAGGAAGGATGTGGTGAAAGTTGTACATCAGCTATGAAGGTTGATTATTTATGAATTTTTGAAAAATCACATAATGGTATTGACTGTGTAGGACTGAATACAAGTTTGTTTTAATATCTGAACATTTCTACAGTAAATCTCTGTGAAATGTGGCACACAGGTACAGTGGGTGTTCCAGAGGAAGGATGTGGTGAAAGTTGTACATCAGCTATGAAGGAATTTTCGTAATAAATTTTTGAATATGCAACCACACTGTCACGAGTGTGGACTGAATACAAGTTAGCTTTAATATCTGAGGATTTCTACAATAAATCTGTGTGAAATGTGGCACACAGGTACAGTGGGTGTTCCAGAGGACGGATGTGGTGAAAGTTGTACATCAGCTATGAAGGATGATTTTTTATGAATTTTTGAAAAATGACATAATTCTATTGACTGTATTGAACTGAATATAAGTTTGCTTTAATATCTGAAGATTTCTACAGTAAATATGTCTGAAATGTGGCACACAGGTACAGTGGGTGTTCCAGAGTAAGGATGTGGTGAAAGTTGTACAGCAGCTATGACGGATGATTTTTTATGAATTTTTGAATATTAACCAGACTGTCACTAGTGTGGACTGAATACAAGTTTTCTGTAATATCTGAAGATTTCTACAGTAAATCTGTCTGAAATGTGGCACACAGGTACAGTGGGTGTTCCAGAGTAAGGATGTGGTGAAAGTTGTACATCAGCTATGACGGATGATTTTTTATGAATTTTTGAATATTAACCAGACTGTCACGAGTGTGGACTGAATACAAGTTTTCTTTAAAATCTGAAGATTTCTACAGTAAATCTGTCTGAAATGTGGCACACAGGTACAGTGGGTGTTCCAGAGTAAGGATGTGGTGAAAGTTGTACATCAGCTATGACGGATGATTTTTTATGAATTTTTGAATATTAACCAGACTGTCACTAGTGTGGACTGAATACAAGTTTTCTGTAATATCTGAAGATTTCTACAGTAAATCTGTCTGAAATGTGGCACACAGGTACAGTGGGTGTTCCAGAGTAAGGATGTGGTGAAAGTTGTACATCAGCTATGAAGGATGATTTTTTATGAATTTTTGAATATTAACCAGACTGTCACGAGTGTGGACTGAATACAAGTTTTCTTTAAAATCTGAAGATTTCTACAGTAAATCTGTCTGAAATGTGGCACACAGGTACAGTGGGTGTTCCAGAGTAAGGATGTGGTGAAAGTTGTACATCAGCTATGACGGATGATTTTTTATGAATTTTTGAATATTAACCAGACTGTCACTAGTGTGGACTGAATACAAGTTTTCTGTAATATCTGAAGATTTCTACAGTAAATCTGTCTGAAATGTGGCACACAGGTACAGTGGGTGTTCCAGAGTAAGGATGTGGTGAAAGTTGTACATCAGCTATGACGGATGATTTTTTATGAATTTTTGAATATTAACCAGACTGTCACTAGTGTGGACTGAATACAAGTTTTCTGTAATATCTGAAGATTTCTACAGTAAATCTGTGTGAAATGTGACACACAGGTACAGTGGGTGTTCCAGAGTAAGGATGTGGTGAAAGTTGTACATCAGCTATGACGGATGATTTTTTATGAATTTTTGAATATTAACCAGACTGTCACTAGTGTGGACTGAATACAAGTTTTCTGTAATATCTGAAGATTTCTACAGTAAATCTGTCTGAAATGTGGCACACAGGTACAGTGGGTGTTCCAGAGTAAGGATGTGGTGAAAGTTGTACATCAGCTATGACGGATGATTTTTTATGAATTTTTGAATATTAACCAGACTGTCACTAGTGTGGACTGAATACAAGTTTTCTGTAATATCTGAAGATTTCTACAGTAAATCTGTCTGAAATGTGGCACACAGGTACAGTGGGTGTTCCAGAGTAAGGATGTGGTGAAAGTTGTACA